ATACCCTGGATTTAAAATAGGCTCAACGCTGTGTAAAAACCAAAATAAACAACTAGACACCTCTCTATTACAAGCATCTTCCTTCTAGGACACGTGTACACTGGCTTCATGTTCAAAGACAGGTTGGATACTGCCTGTGACGTCCCCATTTTATTAGCTATTTTTACAAGCATGTACACAGAAGTATATATGTATTTATGTTGTGCATACAGAGATGAAGCAAATAAGTTCAGAGAGAAGAAAACAATTACTGCTTTTCATAAACAAAAGATCAAAATGCCCATACCAGAAATCTGACTTAACCAGAAAGAAAATTTGTCACTTTTAGATTGATAAGCTTAAAAAACAAAACAAACAAAAACCCACTGTATATCACCTAGAATATTTTAGACACACTTGAAGAGATAATTAAGGGAATCAAAGATTTAAATTTCATGACCAGGACACCCAAACCTTTCCCATGGACATTTATCAGGACTGACAGGAAGATGAGAAATGCAGGGCTTTTTATGTATGAAATGCTCAATCCTGTTTGTTTCACATATCCCTTCCTCTCTCTATATGTCATTCAACATAACTGATTGGTTCTAAGGGCCTTCATCATTCTCATCTTAATATTCTCACTCCAAGTGTGATTACCACGTAATGCTTTTGTAAAGTAACAATATTTTACAAATTGCATGAGCCCCAAGAGAAGAGGATGCACTTGCTGTTCCTACATTACAAAATAAACAAATAAAGCACCAATTTTCTAGGCCATACACTTTGAAAGCCATGTCATTCATATGAGGTGTTATCTTCAGATACAGCAAATGCTATGGTATTAGGATATGGTTTTCTCTAGAAGACAAAACTCCATCAGCAATCCACTTGGATTATATTAAAACTTCAATGAAACTCAAAGGGTCATCTCACCCGGAATGCCACTGATCTTGCATACTGCAGTGTGGGAGTAAAGATTTGTTCATTCAATCTGACTCAACTGCCACTGAGACACCAGTTGGGCCAAAAACATTAAATTAGAAAGAATGGCAACAGCTTAATCAAGTTACAAATATTACTTTCCCACCAGCACCTACACACTAGAATTGTAAATCTGGGGAAGATTTAAGTCTTCTAATTTAATTTTGCTAGGCTAACTTTATTTTAAATGAAATTTCTTATCACTAAGAACATAATTGTTCAGACCAGAGAAGGAAAAGATGCAAACAAATACAAAGCTCAAATATAACAACCAGGATGTACCTGGTTAGTACCTGCCTAATTTAGCACCTGCCAAGCCTTTAATCAAAAGAGAAACATTAGTCACCCCTAGAGTAGGAGTTAGATCTAATATGTCAGTCATATCTCCAAAAGCTGGAAAAAAACAAAGAGAAAAGAAAAAGGTGTTTCAATCTAGAACTGAAAACAAAAAAAAAAAGAAAGAATGAATGAATGAATGAGGAGGATTCGAGATCACATCTCAAGAGGTGGCAACCACTTAAAAGTCTTACTGTGATCCCTGCTGCAAGTGACACGGTCACGGTCAGATCTAGCTAGAAAGGCTGTTAAATCAGAAATGAGAAAAAGAAATCAGACATCACTTTGGACGTGAGAATCAAACTTGCAGGTGAAACTGACAATAAAGCAAAAAAGCTCTGGGGAAAAGTCTCAGGAAGAAGGGTCCTCCCTGCTAGCGAGGACTAAGTGCGCACACGAGCAAGACAGCCAAACAGTGCACCGGGTGACGGGAAAGGAGCTCCTAGGAGTCATGCGAGAATGGCGAACCGGGACAAATGGAGAGAAAGTGACCTAGAGCACTTCTGATGGTCATTTCCCCCATTCGGTACTCCGGGCAGGAGACCGTTTACCTGCAATCCCAAACCGCCTCCAACCCACATGCCCAGGCGGGGAGGCCTGAAGGAAGCGCCATCCCTGTTAAAATTAAGTCCTGCCGCCTTTCTCATCAGTACCTGCCACCTGTACTTCCTGGTGGCTGGGCCACCTCTTTCCACGTCGCTTCCCAGCCTCTGGGCCCTCAAGACTGACAGCAAGTCGCGGGTTTTCAAACTGCTCGATGTAGTCCTACACAGATGGCCCGTGAAAGCTGTAAGGAAGCGACAAAGCCTCCCGAGGACCCGCGTTTACTCCTGGTTGGCGCTCAACTCCTCGGTATCTGGAAGGGTTTACACCCCACACGTGAACACACAGGTGATCCCCTTACCTGCATAGAAGCGGATGAGGCAGCCAATCTCCGAGTCCATGCCTTCCTCCTGCACCCTCCACAACTCCCCAAATCCCAGCTGGAAGAGGTAGTCATTTTGGATCTGCAATGGCTTCTCGTCCGCCTCCAGGCGCCGGGTGGTCTCTCCGTGGAGCTGCACGTATAGGGTGGGCGGCGGAGGCGCTTTCTCCGCGGCCGCCCCGTTCCCCCCCGGGGTCGACGAGGGGCGGCCGGGGGCCGAGGCTGCGGCCGCCTTCTCCTCCCGCGGCCGGTCCCGGGCGGCCCCTCCCGGGCCGTCGGCCGCCCTCGGCGCTTTCGGCTGCGGCGGGGACGGGGAGGCCGTCGGGGAAGGCGGCCGGCCGCCCGTTCCCGGCCGGGGCTGCGCCGAGCGGCCGGGCAGGCGGGGCTGGCCCGGAGCCCCCGTCGGGGCCGGGGCCGGGTCAGCCTCGAGCTCCTCGGACGACGAAGAGGAGCCGCTGCCGCTGCTGTAGGGGTCCAGCCGTTCGGACACGCTCTCGGCGCTGGGGCTCAGGCTGAAGCTCTCCGTGTCGGAGGTCGGGCCCGCGGCGGCGCCGTCCAGGGGCTGCGGGGCGCCGGGCTCCCCCGGGCTGGAGTCAGACGGCGCGGGGCTGGCGCGGGCGGCGCGGCGCGCCCACCCGCCCGGGCCGCCCCGCAGCGGCAGGTCCGCGGGAGGCACGCGCGGCGGGCCCCCGACGGCGGCCGGCCCGCTCCTCCCCCGCGGCGGCCCCAAGTCCCCGGGGTCGGCCGGCGCGAGCCGGGGGCCGACGTCGGGGGGCCGCTCGGCGCCGGCCGCGGGCCCGCACCCCTTGCCCAGCACCTTCACCACGCCGCTGCCCTTGAGGCCCACCTGCAGCAGGCGGGCGGCCACCTCGCCGGCCGTGGTGTCCAGCGTGCAGAGCACCGGGCGCAGGTAGGTCGAGGCCAGGTGGCGGTCGAAGACGTGCACGCAGCCGCGCTGGAGCTGGTGCCTCACCCAGTCCCGGTCCGACGGCTGCAGCTGCAGCATCTGCCGGTGTTTCAGGAGCAGCGTCTTCCTGTCCAGGCTCCGGGTGCACAGGGACGCCGAGGCCGAACAGGAGGCAGAGAGGGCGGCGGCGCCGGGGCAGTGCGAGGCGGCAGCGGCCGACGACGACAACGACGACGACGACGAGGCGGCGGCGGCGGCCGCGGACAGATTCCTCTTCAGCCGCCCTCTCCTCAGCAGGAGGGAGTTGGCGCCGCCGCCCGCCCCGGGCACCGGGGCAGCCCCGCCGGCGGTGGGCTGGGGCGCTCCGCGCCGCCGCCGGCGACCCGTGCCTCCCGCCCGGCCCGGCAGCGGCCCCGGCTGCGCCTCGCCGGGGGCCTCTTCCCGCGCCCCGCGGGTCGGGGCCGCCGGGGTCAGCGCGGGCTCCGGGCTCCGGCCGCCCCCGGCCGCTGCCGCCACAGCCGCCGCCGCCGCCGCGGCCGCCGGAGCTCGGTCCTCCCTGCTGGTCTCTGGGAGTCGCTGCGCCGTAGCCGCGGCGGCGGGCTCCATTGCAGTGGGGCTTCGCGCTTCCCCCCCAGCTCCGGAGGCAGCGGGAGGAGAGGGAGGCGATGAGGCGAAGGTGGGAGACGGCGGCGGCGGCGCGCGGTGAAGAGAGAAGCCAATGGCGTTCGGCGCGGCCGTTCCGGGGGATTATGTGGCAATTCGGAGCATTCCGTCGGTGTCTCGGTGTTCCATTCCGCGCGCCCGCCCGCCTGGACGCCACCGCCCCCCCACACACGCCCTCCCCGCCCGGGTCGCGGGCTCCGGAGCGCAGGCCCCGCCCGCTCCCCCCACTTCGCTGGGGCGAACCAGCCGCGTAGCTGGGCTCATTGAATATTAATCACGCGCTGGGAGCGGGAAGGAGGGAGGCGGGCAGGGCGGGAGCTCCACGAGGGCCTCATGAATATGCATCATTAGCATGACGGCATTCCTGGGAGAAGTGGAGAGAGCTGGAGGACGGCGGAGAGGCGGGGCTTCAGGGTAAACAAACGTGACGCGTGCGTACGAGGGCGGGGCGGGGGCGGGGGCAGGATCCCGGGAGGGCCCTGCGAGGCCTGGGAGAGGGGCCGACTGAGGCGAGAGAGGCGCGCGCGGTGCACTTTGGGAGCTGTAGTTCTAGTGCTGAAAGGAACACGCCGAGGGAAACAGGGCGAACCACAAGTCCCAGAGTTCCTTGCTTTACGCCCCTCCTTCAGCCCGCCGCCGGCTCTAGGCAGTGGGTATTGTGCCCTCTGCTGTTAAACTCTGTGCCCGGGAATGTTCTTACTCATTAACTTGTGCCCAACCCGCCCATCCTCGGATCTCAGAAGACTTTCGTTTTCCCTGCTAATTTAAAGTGAGGGCTTTGAGGGACTCTAAACGGTACGAAGGTCCCCTCTCCTCGGTTCTCACCTCCACCCATTGTATGGGATCGAAAACACGCCCACAGCACCCCTGGATGACTGGCCGTGAAAGCGGCCAACCTCACTTTCCCCACGTTTTCCAAGTCCAGGGAAGAAATGTCTCGAAGCTCTAACTTGGGCAGTTGTTGAATACACGTTTTGGCAGTCGTGCAACCTGGAGCTTATCCTCTTCCACGGCCACACGTGGGAAGGAAAAGGCAAAGGGCTGGGCTGCGGTCTGGGGCTTTTCCCCATTGACCTTCAAGTTTGACGTAACCTAGCGACAACGGAAAGCGGTGCAAAGTAGAAGAAACGGACTGGAGATGTGGGATATGAGATCGGTCCCGGGTGTTCCCCCTTATGTCTGACATTAAGAAGAAAAGTTGTTTTCTGCTCCTACAATGTTTGGCTGTCGTCTGAAAAGTTGCATTTTCTTATCAGTTTAATTTAGTAAACATTTTTAATTAAATTGCCGTTCCTCCAGATTTTTAAATAAATGTTCACATGTGAGACTTTGTCAACTGCCTCTCTCCAGGGCCTCCCTTAACTTCAGTAAGGTTAGTAAACCTGGGGGGGGCGTTGCGGGTGGGGGCAAACAAGCAGGGAGAGAACAGAGGAGATCGGGGCACCTGGCTGGGTCAGTCAGGGGAGCATGCAACTTTTGATCTCTGAGTTGTGAGTTCGAGCCCCACCTGGGGTAGAGAGATTATTTAAAAAATTTTTTAAATCTTAAAAAAAAAAAGATCAGCTGGAACGTATCGCTGAAATAGTAGAAGTTGATAAGGGCGAGTAAAGCCATACTTAGGTTATCTACACGGTTTCACTGAAGAGAAATGGAGGAAGCTACCAGGATAAAAATAAGTATTTCTCTTGATTCTGGAAAGTCCTGAAAATGATTTTCTATATCTTCCTTTTGAAGTCTTCCCCCTTGGCCTCATGAAACTAATTTTTATTGCATTTCATTTCAATCAACAGAACCAAGTTCCTTTTTTAAAAAAAATAGGGAGCCTGTACATTCTCCCAAGAGAGATAAGATAGTCATGTCAATTAATTTAACAAATAATTATAAGCATATTATATACTAGTCACTGTTAAGCAACTGAAAAAATCAGACACGGCCCTTGCCTTCATAGAGCATACAGATTACAAAGAAAGACAGTCAACAAGTGAGAGCGATATAGAAGAGGGAAAAATACAAGGTGCCATGGGAAGAGACAAAAATACAACAAGGGGAAGTGACCTTGTCTAGGAAGTCAAAGAGACTATCTTTGGATGAAATTTTTTGTGATGAAACTGGGTACTTGCTGAAGGATCTGTCTCTGAAAGAAAGCAAAGAGGCAGAAAAAAGGTATGATATTGAAGATAAATTTCAACTGCACTAATCCATATGTTGCCTTGAGTAGCTCCTAACACAAACTATTAGTTCTAGAAATGAAAAGAATGGTATTTTGATTTATCTTTTATTTGGTATGATTAAAAAACAAAAAGCATGATAAATTTCAATACTAAAACATAGACTGTTTACACAGTCTTTATATTCATTAGTTCCTTAGTCAATTTCCTACAAACCTGTTTAATTTTTGCTATTTAAAAAATGTACATTAACTCCTATATAGTTGCTTTCTAGGGGTATATTTCCTTAGCTAATGTAACAAACTCAGGGAACGTTTATTCTAATCATAAATACTGTCACTATTGGCCTAAGGTCCATTTGCATCCTCTGTACGAAATTGTAGTACTGTACTTAATCTAGCTCTGGTTCCTGTCATTCAGCTTTATACAGTCACCCCAACTCTGCCTTTTTATCCTCTAGGAATTTTGTTTACTCTTTGGTGGTATTTATAACCAAAACACCTCCTCCAAAGGGGAAATTTTTAAAGAAAAAGCATAGCTCAGAGAATTTAGTATCTAAATGGTGGGAGTGGCTGGGAGTCATCATACACACCTGCCCCACTTGGTGTGAGGAATTACCGATTTGGAAAGAGGAGGGAAATAATGAATAACGTTAATGTTGAAGTATCTCAGCATAAAGAAAAAAGGATGTACATTCCAGCCTACAAGACAAAACACAAAATCCTGTGTTGGGGAATAGGGTGAGGGAGAGGAAGAATGAATGTAGAATATAATTCCTACATAGATAAATGATTTCATGCCCAGTGTCTATAGTCTGAAAGAGGCCACATTCCATTGTACCCAGAATAATAAAAATCAGAGGTGAGGAAAGAACCGAAGAATAAAGGTTCACAGTGTGATCCGCCCCTTGTTCTACCTCCAAACCTTCAATAAAATTACTAAACTTGGCGGTGAGAGGAGAGACAGAAAGAAAATGGGAGTTTATAAAGAATAGACAGTCCCGTTGATTATGAGATCAACTGGAACCTCATTGTTGAAATAATAGACACTGATAAGGGCAATGAAACTTGTGCTTAGAACTTGTAGTATCATTGAATATTATCCAGAGCATCTGAGCCAACCCACACTATACGACTGCTCTGAGTAAGAAAAAGATTTCAGTAAAGGACAAATGTTTTCCAGACACCCATGAAATAGCAGCTTCTCCTACTAAAAGTAGAGTGGGGAATAGGCCAGTATCCTGAAACCGCATAACTCATGAATGCCCCCTACCCTTTTTAAAGTGTTCCAAATGTACAATCTAATACGGCATTGCTGACAAGCCACACTTTTCAAAGAATCACATCTTAAAATGCTAAAAGATAATCCTGAAAAGAAACAACAGATGTAAAAGTTGCAAAACCTGATGCCAACTTGTTAAAATATTTTCACAGCTAAGTATAGAAAAAGAGAGCATAATTTTCAATTTACAGCCACAGTTTATTTTATGCCATGTGATTTATAACTGACTTGCTGTGTTTTGCATCTAGGTTAATCCTGTTTGCATCCTTAGATCCAAGATAAAAGAAACCATCTTTGGAATTTTTTTCTAATATAAGCAGTTGGAATTTTAATGGAAGCATGAATTGATAGCTGGGATGGTTTCAGTCTGAATTGTTAAGGGCTCAGCTGTATCCAGAAATAAACTCAGAAAGATGCAATATACAATGTAATACATTTAGTTAGTACATTATGAACAAGGGATCTAATTATAGTTTCACATTCTTATATCCCTTGAGCTACTAGTGGTTCACCATGCCTAAATTGCTCACTATTTACTCATTCTATTTTACTATGAGGGACCCATTTAGCAAATTACTGCTCTAGTGCACTAAATGGGCCCCAGGTGGCTAAACTGAATTCGTATGTTCCCTGCTCACTGGCAGGAAGATACCTTCTGTTCTCTCTAAAGCCTTACCCCTCCCTCACAAAATTTACCATTTGAACTCTATCAAGAGCTTAGATTGCCACTATCATCTTAGGCAGTCCACTTTATAAATACACTTGATAGATTTTTCAGATATTAGTGCACCCTTTTAAGTCCCATGATTCTTTGTCTTTTTCTTATATCTCACATCCTGCCTCACAGAAGTAAACAAATGTGTTATATTACAGCACAACAATGAAGTATTAGACCAAGAAATAGAGACCTTGTAAGCCCACGTCTTTCAGTAACAATGTAAATTACTTGGACTATTCATTCAATGTAAATCACCTGGGACACTTAATGGAACAGGTATGTATTGAAATCATATGTGTAGGTACCATTTACCCTGAGTAAATAGTATAGACAAAAATACCTGCCCTAAGGAAGCTTATATAAAAGCATTATCATTCTTCTTAAATCTTTAGCTAAAATTGACCTACCCTTTTTTTTTTATGTTTATTTTTGAGAGAGTGCATGCATGCGAGCCGGGGAGGGCAAGAGTGGGGTGGGGACAGACGATCTGAAGCAGGCTCCAGGTGCTGACAGCAGAGACCCTCGTGCAGGGCTGGAACTCACAAACCATGACCTGAGCCAAAGTTGGACCCTTAAAGAACTGAGCCACCCAGGTGCCCCGATCTACTGCTTTCTTTTATATAAATGGTTCTTGTTTTTAGGCAATTGGGAAATATGGAAATCTAGATAGATTAGTTACATATTAGGATATAAATATTTCTTCCCAAAGTATTTTTTGTTCTTTCTCTTATATAAGAATTCACCACACAATTGTTTTAAATACTGGGCCTTTATAATATTTATACATTTAAAATAATTAATTTAAAAAGTTGATTTACACTCAGCTTTTTAGAAACTCATTTTGGATTCTAATCTCTCCCATGTGCCTAAGACCTCTTTCCATTGAGATTCCTGTCTTAAAAAAAAAAAAATTCTTTCCAAAATTATCCCTCCCCAAGCATTTCCCCTGAATCTTCCACTACTACAAGTAGAAGAGTAGTCTCCAGATAACAGTTTCCCTATATTTATAGTCATTAATTAGACCCTAAGGAAGTAGCATGGGTATTCTCTTTTGTTGCCCCCAAAAAGAATGACTATGGAACACACATCAATTCTTGGAAATCTTACCCTTTTCCCCTTATTTCCCATCATACCCACCAGTCTGGACTCCTAGCTATGCTTGTTTCATAGCGCTGTCATAACAAAGTTCCTTGAACTAGATGGCATAAAACAACAGAAGTCTATTCTATCACAGTTCTGAAGGCTGGAAGTCCAAAGCCAAGGTGTCAGCAGGACCAAGCTCACACTGAAGGCTCTGGGAGCCTCCATTTTTGCCTCGTCTAACCTCTCCTGGTCACAGCCCTGCTTGGCTTGGAGGTACATCCTCCAATCTCTGTTTTCTGGCACCTGTCATTGCATGTCCTTCTCCCTGTGTCTCTACATCCAAACTCCTCTTCTTATGAGGGTAACAATCATTGGACCAGGGACCATTATGGTCTCATCTTAACTTGACTGCCATCTGCAAAGAGCCGATTTCGAAATATGGTCACCCTCTCAGGAACCAAGTAGATCCCAGTTTGGGGTGGGGACACACCAGTACACTAGGTGTTTGTAGTGCTCCCCAGGAGAGAGAATCAGAGATTTCAGGGATTAGTAAAATTCCACCACCCAAAAAAAAATTGGTGTCCAAACTAGGTATTTCAACCTTTTACTCATTCACTTAAATATTCACTGAGTCTCCTACATCAGGCACTAAGCTCGATCTGAGTACATAATAGTGAATAAGAGAATTGTAAGCATTGCCCTCGAAAATGTTTTTAAACTATAAATACCATAAAAATACTATTAAAGAAAGTGCATTTTAACATACAGAAAAACATAGGAAAGACAAGTCCTAGCATAAAAACAGAGGTAGTCTTTAAATCGAATAAAGTTACCTTTATGGAAAATTCCTTAATTGTCCTTTTGTCCCTCATGTTACCATAAATCAAGAAAAATACCATGGTGAACCAGTCCCAGATCTCAGACTAGCCTTTGGTAATCACAGTGCTAGAGCTTGCAAAGAGTTCTCTCTGGTGCTCTTCCATTCTGTAGCCCATAATATGTGGTTAGGTAAATGCAGACCTATTACCTTCCAGAATTCAACCATCCACAACCATCTGTTGCCACATGGATCAAAATACTACAAAATGTAACCACTGCTCCAGTGCCATATAACATGTATGGTCTTACCATACGGGGCCAGGAAAATCCAGCAGATGCATTCGGGCTCAGCGGGATGTATGAGTAAGTTTGGATATAATGATGGTGACAATGGCAGAGTAACACTCTCAGCCTTCTACACATTCCATCATTGAAAAGTGGCTACATGTAATGCTATAGAGGAGTTCAATAATGTCTAAGGTTGGAAGTCAGATGTCCTCATTCTAGTCCTGGTTTTATACATGCTAGTTAAGTATGACCTAGGGAAAACATTTGACCTCAAGGAGGTTTCAGTTCCTGATTTACGAAATGAAGAGACTGAACCAGATGGTGTCTCTAAAATCTCTTCTGGCTCAAAAAAAAAAAAAAAAAAAATCTGATTCTGGCTAAAAACAAAATTGTCTAATTTGAAATATTGGCAAATGTTTTTGTTAGTAAAAAAAGCAGAGAGCTTCACATTTAGATGCTATTAATTTGAGGGGGGTCTTTGAAGACCTTTTGCTATTCTTGCCATTTAAAAGAACTTTTAATGCATTTAAAATAACAGCAGGTTTATTCTGACATTTAAGAAAACTGCTGGGCTGTCAGTCCTTTTAAATTGGAATTTGTCATCAGTAGGAACCAGTCCATGACAACAAGATCCACAGCTTTGGATTCCCAAACTCCAGGGTCTTTATCAGTTTTTTTTTCTTTTATAGTCACAGATGGGTAGAAATCTCAGCACAAAGTAAGGTCAGGGCACAGTGAGCACATGTGCAGCAGGAGACACTGACAGGGATATTGACAGCAGCTACAGTTATCAGTGCCAGAACCTGGGTCCATCAACAGTAGAAAGCATAAATCAGCCGTAGTATAGTCTACACTGAAATACCCACACAGCAGCAAAAGTGAATGATCACAATGCTAAGCAGTATGAATGAATCTTAGCATGTTGGTTAAAGAAGCCAGGCACAACAGAACGCTTACCACATGATTCCACTTATATCAAGTTCAAGAACAAGCCAAACTAATCTATATTTTTTAGGGATGCAATTTATGTGGTAAAACTTAAACAAAGGGAAAAGAAAGTAAATAGCATAAACCCCTAGGTGGGAACAAGTGGGAAGGGGGTTGGGATGACATCTGATGCTGACACTGTTTGGTCTTGGGTTATCTAGGTCCCTCTTTTTAGAAAATGTGTTCAGTTGTACTTTTGTGTTTTATATACTATCCTATTCTTATTATACTTCATAACAAAGGTTGTTGTTTTTTTTAAATCAACTGTGAGGTTTTTGTTACAATCTGAATTTCTCCATATTGTCCATAATTTAGAGCTTAAACTTATGTTAAGTTTCCCATCACTTATTTAATTCATTTACAATGTTATTTATAGGGGCTCTTGGGTGGCTTAGTTGGTTGGGCATCTAACTTCAGCTCAGGTCATGATCTCGTAGTTTGTGGTTCAAGTACTGCATTGGACTCTATGCTGACAGCTCAGAGCCTGGCACCTGCTTCAGATTCTGTGTCTCCCTCTCTCTCTGCCCCTCCGCTGCTCACACTGTCTTTTCTTCTCTCAGAAATAAGTAAACATTAAACAAATGTTAATAATAAAATAAAATGTTACCTATAATTTAAAACAATTGATCAACTATAAATCTAATTTAAGAGCCCTAAATATTAATTATAAGAGTTCATTATAGAAAGTCTGGAAAATACTGAAAACTGTAAGGATACAAAGGAGAACAAAAAAATCCAATGAGTCCTTATTTTCACAAATTTCCTCTCAGATTTTTTAATGCATTTTAATGTAGTAGAGATCATAACATAGGTACAATTTTTTATCCTGCTTTCCTCATTCAAAACTATCCCATAAACACTTTTACATACTATTAAAATTTTTTTTTAATTTCTAAACAAAAATGCAGCATTTTGGAGAACTATAATTTATTTAAGAGCTCCATGAAGAGTGAATTAATTAATGATTGGGTAGGACACTCTGCTGCCCTCAGTGTTTTTATGCTATGTTTTTTGTATCATCTTTCCTTGTGGAAATAGGAATAAGGTGATAGCTTATTTCACTACAGTCATCTTTTCTAATCTCCCCATCTTTCTACCACAATTTAGCAACATTTAATTTTTTTTAAGTTTACTTACTTATTTTGAGAGAGATAGAGACAGCATGAGCCAGGGATGGGGAGTGAGGGGCGGGGGCGGGGGGGGGCGGTGGGTAGGGGTGGTGCAGAGAGGGAGGAGAGAGAGAGAATCCCAAGCAGGCTCCATGCTGCCAGCACAGACATGGGGCTTGAACCCATGAACTGTGAGATCATGACCTGAGCTGAAACCAAGAGTCCAGTGACTGGGCTTAACCAACTGAGCCACCCAGATGCCCCATTGTTTCTTTTTAAAACTTGCTCCTTGGGGCACCTGGGTGGCTTAGTCGGTTAAGCGTCCGACTTCGGCTCAGGTCATAATCTCACAGTTCGTGGGTTCGAGCCCCGCGTTGGGCTCTGTGCTGACTGCCAGCTCAGAGCCTGGAGCCTGTTTCAGTCTGTGACTCCCTCTCTCTCTGACCCTCCCCTGCTCATGCTGTCTCTCTCTCTCTCCTAGAAATGAATTAAAAAAAAACACATTAATTAAAAAAAACTTGCTCCTTGCTCCTCTGTATTGTTATGTTAAACATGAGTACTTAAAAAAAAAAAAAAAAAAAGTACGGGACCCAGGTGGCAGAGCCAATCATTTTAAACATGATTCAAAACTGAGCCCCAGGAGGGGCACCTGGGTGGCTCAGTCAATTAAGCATCTGAGGTAGCAGCAAGGGGGAGCCCTGACACTCCCTTCCTTCCACCCCTCCCCAACCACCATACTTTCTTTTGGCAGTCAAATGAAACAGTTTTCTTTCAGCCACTCCTAGAAATCCCAGGAGTATTTGGGTATTTGGTTTCTGGGGGGGGGGGGGCTTCCCCCCTAACCCCCCTATATTTTGGTTTAAAGTAAACAAGTAATGCAAAGATAAACCATCCAGAACTGGGCTCTCTGGAGTTTGGAGGAAACAGGACCTGAGTGTAAATTACTTTCATCTTCTCCTGTCCTGGCACAACCCCAGCCTCACCATGTGGCTCATGCCAGGCTCCTAGAACAACCAAAACTGTCTCTTGCTTCTCCTCATTGATTTGCCTTAAAAAAAAAAAAATGTTTTATTTATTTTTGAGAGAGAGAGAGAGAGAGACAGCATGATCAGGTGAGGGTCAGAGGGAGAGGGAGATACAGAATCTGAAGCAGGCTCCAGGCTCTGAGCTGTCAGTATAGAGCCCAATGTGGGGCTCGAACCCACGAACCGTGAGATCATGACCTAAGCTGAAGTTGGACGCTTAACTGACTGAGCCACCCAGGCGCCCCTGATTTGCTTTAGTCTTATTGTTTCCCTTCTCTGCAGATTGTCTGCAGACAAGCCATTTGGCAAATGCCCCAGATTCATTACCTCTCTTGCACAGGAGGTAAAACTTCTCTAGGCCCCGAAATAAAGGACAAAGTTGGCAGAGAGTGAGTGCAGGAGACAGAGCAGAGCTCAAACAGGAAGAAACAGTCTCCAGCCTCACCAGCCCAGGTAAGAAGGGAGGGCTTTGGGAGAAGGATACAGACTTCCACAGGGCCACCCACTGAGGCCCTTAGTCCTGACCCCAGACAGGCACAGCTGGCCAATGGCGTCCAGTTCAGAACCAAGGAGGACCGGAGGGTCTTTCTTTTACACCTGCTGACACAGGTGTTAAGCGCACATGCTCGTGCATCCCACCCACAGTCCTGAGAACCATCAGCTCCCAGGGTGCTCCCTAGCTGGGCTGTCACCCCTGCAGAGCCCTGGCATCTCTGCAGGCAGAGAGAGCAGTCGGCATGGGGAGCAGGTGGTAACTCTGGCATGTGCTTACGAATAGTATCCTTACCAGGTCTCCGAGAAGAAGGTGATTCCCTCAGCTGAACTAAACTTTAGACAGGCTTCTTTCTGACTGGAGGCTCCCAGCCTCCCTTTGCTTAGAGCTTTTTTTTTTTTTTAAAGAACATTCATAACTGTTGATTTTCTACCCCTCTAAGACGTATGTCAATCTTCTCTTAAATCCTCCTGTTAGTTTTTCAACCCAGAAATATTTTTCACAAGGACCTGGGAGCCATCTCTTTGAAATGTCATCAAAGGAGATAGTGGAGTTATCTCCTAGTCCCTATGGGAAGGTAAGAGCCTAATTTCAGGAGGACGGGGGGGGGGGGGGGGGGGGGGGGGGGGGGGGGGGGGGCTTGCTCCATGTTGCAAAACGACCTACTATCATAAAATGGTAAGAAATGTATTGTTCCTTTGGAAAATTCCATTCACAAACACAGATGGCCCCAAATCTTCCAATAATCTCTCATTTGCTCATCTCAGCCCTTAAAAAGCCCCCTGCTTTAGTGGAGGTGAGCCCAGGCTGAACTTATTTTATATTACCTTCTTACTATAGCCTTCAATAAAGTCTTTCCCGTCTCTTTAACTTGGTTCCTTTTTGTTTTGAAACAGGAAATCTAGTTTGTGACTTTTCCACAACTTCTAAACAAGTTATAAGTTTTGCACAGTGGCCTCATGCTTGTGAATAAGAATTTCCCTAGAACATAAGTGGACATAGACTCAAAGCTACAACAGTGGACACTTAAGAGATAGGACTTGAGAAGAAAGGCTTTCCTTCCCTAAAACATCTTCTTAGCTTCTCCAGTAACCTAGCTGAAGTTGCAGTGACCATATTCAGAAAAAGTAATAGATGTGAGAACCAAGGTCTTTGAGAAAGACAGAGAGAGCTCATTTTTCTTAGGCTATAATTAAAATGCTATGGGGCACCATACCAAACAATTAATCTGAGATGGATCTTAGATCTACAATATGAAAGTTAAAATAACAAAACTTCTGAAAATGACCTTGTGATAGGCAAAGCTTTTAAAACACAAAAGAACATCTGTTCATCCAAAGGCATCATCAAGAGAGTGAGAGTACAAACCACAGACCTTGGGGAGACAAAGGATTTATGTTCAGAATGTGAAAAGAACTCCTAAAAATCAATATGAAAAAGACAGTCTGTTCAAAACTAACAGGCAAAACAACTAACCACGTAAGCAGGCACTTCACGAAAGATAATCCAAAAGTCAACTAGCATGTGAGAAGGGGCCCGCCAGGATTACTCATCAGGAAAATGTGAATCAAAACTACATACTTTAGAATGGCTGAAATCAGGGTGCCTGGGCAGCTCAGTCAGTTGAATGTCCAACTCTTGATGCAGGTTCAGGCCACGATCCCAGGATCGTGGGATTGAGCCCCGTGTCATGCTCCACGGTGAGCATGGCTCATGCTTTCTCTCTCAAAATAAATGAACTTTTTTTTAAAAAAACGGCTAAAATTAAGGGACAATGTCAAGCAATAGAAACATTGTAAAGCTACTACAATTTTCCCATAGGTAGATCTGATATGAGTACTTTATGCATAATCCTTTAATAAAAGGTTTTGTCTTTGTTTAATACATGGGAAAGTTGGGTTTACTTAACACTTTAATTACATACAACTCTAGACTCTGGGCGCTGAGATAGGAGACAGGTAAGTGTCGGCTAAGTAAGCAGACCCAGGGAAAAACAAAGCTGTGTGTAATATCTGAGGACAATGCCCAAATAGTCAGCAAAATCTGAGAGAAAGTACAGTGGTATTCACCTTGCAATTTTGTCTGTGAATCTTAAGTTCCACTTTTTTTCTGAAAGAGAAATGTTCTGTACAAAAGCACAGGGACCAGGACCTGTTTCTCCTTGTGTTTTTCTAAATGTTTACTTATTTATTTTGACAGAGAACACAAGCTGGCGGGTGGGGGGCGGGGGGGGGGTGGCGGTTAGTGAAAGAGAGAGAGAGAGAGAGAGAGAGAGAGAGAGAGATACTATCCCAAGCAGGCTCCACGCCCAGGACGGAGCCCAAGGCACAAAGGTTCTATCCACAACCGTGGGATCACGATCTGAGCCAAAATCAAGAGCCGGACCCCCAGCCAACTGAGCCACCCAGGCTCCCCTGTTTCTCCTTGTTTGAGCCTCATGTGAACCTACAGATCTGTACTCAAAATGAATTGTACTTATTGACTTCGGGCAATACAATATGATTCTCGAAATTGTGATGACACCAGCTGTATCGATGAACTCATTCAGGAAAGTTTGACTGATGCCAGGCACTTTTGGTAAGTATGAAGAATACCACCAGGACCACATCCTCCATATGGATCTTACAGCTGCGGAAGGGAAAATGCCCACAAACAAGCATTACTCCCGTAAAAGTACATGCCCAACTCTCCGACAGGAATCAACTTCTCAACTGGAATTCAGTTCTGTCCTTTAGAATCACGCCATCTAGTAAATGACAGAGGGATGGAGGCAGGGAACGCAGAAGGGAAGGACAGAAGGAAGTCGCTGTCTATTTCACTGGCTTGGAGTATAGTTTTTAAAATTAAAAAATAGGAAAAACTCAAAATCTGACAATTAGAAGAGGATTTTCAGCCCCCAGAATGCTGGAAAGAATGAAAAATCCTTTCCTAAGTATGCCTTTTCTGTATTCTGAGAGTTGACACTTTCATATTAACATACATCATCTAGAATTATGACCTGCTTATCCTCTGGTGCTTGAATGTGTGAAAACCTAACTGTGAAATCAATTCATGCTAGACCTGAATCAGGCAAAGTGCACTGAAGGATAATAGCATGGAAAATTTCATATTTTCCCCTCCTCAAATGTAAATACATAAAAACTGTTACTCAAATATGATTGATGAAATTTATAATTAACAGTGATACCAAAACACAGAGAGAAAAAAATAAGTGTTAGTTAATGTGCTTACATTTTTTTTAAAGGTTGGAGACTCATAATCTAGCATTAAAAGACTCATGGACAGAGAACCACTGGAATTTCAAAAATTAGTATTAGAGTATTCTGTGGTATTTGAGTCTACTTCAGTTCTATTTCAAACTAACTATTGTTGCAAAATGAACATAATTTCTATGTAGGACTGAACACAAACAAGCCTGATTTATTTGTTAATATTGGGAGGGAGCAGGCATTTTCAGATGAAAAATCTCAAGCCCACTGCAAAAAAATGGAAGAAAGAAAAAATAACTAACAAAGGTCTAGCTGTTGTTCTTTTGTATACACAGTAAGTCAGCTTGCATTAACTTTATATCTAAAGGTCAATTAAATTATAGAACTTCTTTTCTGATTAAAGTTCCTTTTTTTTTTAAAATGTTTTTTATTTATTTCTAGGAGAGAGAGAGAGAGAGAGAGAGACAGCGTGAGCAGGGGCGGGGGAGGGTCAGAGACAGAAGGAGTCACAGACTGAAACAGGCTCCAGGCTCTGAGCTGGCAGTCAGCACAGAGCCCGACGCGGGGCTCCAACCCACGAACCGCGAGATCATGACCTAAGCGAAAGTCGGACGCTTAACCGACTAAGCCACCCAGGCGCCCCTAAAGTTCCTTTTCTAATCCATCTAACTTTCTAAAAACATTTTTTTAGTGTTTATATTTGAAACAAAGAGGGGCAGAGCATGAGCGGGGGAGGGGCAGAGAGAGAGACACACACAGAATCCGAAGCAGGCTCCAGGTTCTGAGCCATCAGCACAGAGCCCAATGCGGGGCTCAAACTCCCAAACTGCAAGATCATGACCTGAGCAAAGTCGGACGCTTAACCAACTGAGCCACCCAGGAGCCCCAAATCCATCTAACTTTTTTTCAGGCTGGACTATAAACAAAGAATAAGATGTACTCCAAAAACAATGTGTTGCATCCTTACAGAACATTTCTGTTGACAGAGTGTTTTCATGTACTTCATCTCACCTGATTCTCCCAACAAATCTGGGAAGTAGATAAATGATATCACCAGGATATAGGCAGTTCTGATTAGGCTCTCTCACTCACAGACTTTGAGGACAAAGTCTCTGCAAATAAAGAATCATTGAAATTTGTAGAAATAGCCTATACTAAGATGTAAATATATTGCTATGGAGACCCAAAAACTACCCCAGCTCAATAATCCAAGTGATTAAGGTACCTGGCCAACTATGTCATAATATAACTGTCTGAAAGAAGTATGTGTTCAGCAGAAGGATGTTATCATCTGAAGGGAGCCGAAGAATAGGAATTGACCCACATTGTCTGGGAAAATGATGCTCCCTTCAGTAACAGAGGTAGACCCAAGTTGTTTCGACAGCATCTGGTCAAGACCCCTGATTTACGGAGAGAGGAGGGTTGGGAGAAAAGAAGCCTACCAAGTGGGGAAATAGGCTGATGTGGAGTTCTGAGAGGCTAGATGAGTCATGCCAAGGGGAAGAGCCTCCCCCACTCCACCCCCCGGGAACTGTTTTACTGTGTGATACTTACCTCTCTGAATTTCACTCTCTCATCCATAAAAGTCTGTGATCCCTTGGTTCCATTCGTTACTCTAGTGACCAAGTTCACTAACAGAAAATCTGAAATCTTCCTCTTGTGACCGGAATAAAGTTTGGCCCCTTTGTGGCTTCTCAGCAAAAGCCATCAGGGGAGTTCAATGCACCTGCACCCATTAGTAAGTAGATGATGTCTTCTCTTTGCACTGTGCAAACACAGCAGTGCAATGCTTTTTCTGTGCCCATCTCAAGGAGTGACAAAGTCCAAGTCATTCAAGGACAGTACAAAAGTCAGCAAACTGGCCAAGTAGTCCATGTGTATAAGACAAATACATCATCTACACCTACCATGTGCGGCATGATATAACTACCATGCAGCTGTCTAACAGTACAACAGGCCATGTGTACATTTGCCCCAGAAACTGGTTATCACGTGCTCAACCTGGGCAGAGACCATGAAAAAGCCAAGAAGAAATGGAAGGGGACAAATATAAGGAAGAAACTATTGAGAAAAAAAAAACAATCATAAAATTACCTTATATACAACATAGTAAAAACAAGATCAATTTCTGGCAAAAGAAAGCAGACTAAAAGTACTCATTTAACTCTCATTTCTCAGGAAGTCACTAAAATGGTAGTAGACTTAAAAAATGATGATACATATATGATAGAAAGATACATAGATAGATAGACAGATGATAGATAGATAGATGATAGATAGATAGATAGATAGATAGATAGATGGATAGATAGGTAGGGATAGATAGGAAGAAGCAAAGCAATAAAATATAATTTTGGAAGCTGAAAACCTAAGGGATGAGTGGGAACTGAGTTAGCAGAACTAGGAAACTTAACCCTCAACCAGGAAATCCGGGAAGCAACATACTTTGCAAGGAAAAACTTCCTAAAAACACAAGAACTGGTGACACCAGGCTCTCCTCCGAAGGAATAAATGTGGGATTTACAAAGAGGTTGCCGGTCTATTCAGGAAGCAACGACGGCATTAGATCTCCTTCACCGTCAGTGGGGCTAATCGTTTTCAGAGCTTATTCCCTGGAAATAGTAGATAAAATGGAGAGTTCTGGGATGTGCAACAAGCTTAGTAGCATGAGTGAGGTGGGGATTAAAGCGAAGTTTTACACGCTCTGCCAGTCCTGTTCCTCCGACCAGCCTCTGGACCCCAAACCATCACACGCAGCGGGACGTGGTCAGCCCTGCACGGGGCACCTGGCCGAAGGAGTGAGTGAGCCTGAAATCCAGCTCCCGCTCCGTTCACCAGCCCGTGCCCTGGTGCAGGCTGTACCCAGGGGCAAGGGCACCTTTTCCTCGTTCTCCAGAAGGTACTAGCTGATCATCAGGCTCTGCTCCTGCAGAGCTGACTCCCAGAGAAGCCGCCTTTCCTGGATTCTCACAAAGTCTGGCAAAAGCCCGCAGGGGCCCTGCCCAGGGCTCTGGCAGCCAAACTTAGCATCTTCATGAAAGATCTCTGCAGGGGTGACTGGCAAACCTCACCCAGCCAGGGTGTCTGTAGAAAAGCCCACCATCGAGGCACTGTGTGCACACAGAAGCGGGAATGCACAGCCGAGAATCAAACCCGAGGGAAACCTTTTGCAAGGAAACGGAAGCAAACTGAAAAAAAGCAACTTGAAGGAAACAGACTTTTTAAAAAGGACTCTTCTGCGTCAATCAGCGAGGGAAAATACTGCCTGCGTGAACCAAGAACAAGAAAGTTTAAAAAAGAAATAGCGAACAAGAAAGAGCTTTTTTACATTAAAATAGGACAAAGGAAATGAACATTTCAAAAGAAAGCTTAGGAGGAAATAGAAAAAAAACAAAGAAGAACATCAGAGAAGGGCTAATATCAAAATACTAGGAAATAGGAAGAAATCATAAAGGATAATTTTCTAGAATCAAGGAACATCAATTTCTAGATTTCCAGGGCCCATCCAGTATCCAGCATGGCAGATTGAAAAACCAGATCTAGATCGAGATGCATCATTATGACATTTCAGAACATTAAGAACAAAGAAATAAAAACTCCTGAAGTTTCTATAGTGGGGAGAAAGCTATATTTAAAGTCTGAGGAATCAATATTGCTTCAGACTTCTCAGGAGCAAAGCAGACCACAGAGTGATGCCTTCACATTTCCAAAGGTAAATGACTCCCAACTTGGCATTCAGATGATAGTCAAACAACTAATTATAGCTCAGGATAGATAGGAAGGAAGGAAGGAAGCAACGAAGGAGTGAACCAACGAGCAAAGGCAAAACAGAGTTAGGGTAGAATCATGATACGTTCTCAGATATGCAAAGTCCTGCAAAATTCACCTACCACTTTCTCTTTCTCAGGAACCTCCTGAAAAATGCGCTATCAAGAAGAGATGTGCCAAGAAATAGGGAAGTTAGAGGATCTGGGAAACATAAGATTCCGACTCCGGGGAAGGGAAACGCCATACCAGCAGCTGTACCAGAAGGCCTGGAGGGCAGCCTGTCCAGGATGAAGAAGTTCAGAGGCTCTTCCAGAGGTGCTCCCATGAAACAAAATTAATAAATTGCCCAAGGAGTTCCAACACAATGAGAAAATATTTGCTCTCCCAGAGAACAGTTTGGGGCTTACTTCATGGTAATTAAGACAACCAAGTGAATGAAAAACCAAGACAATTCTTTTCTAATGTTTATTTATTTTTGAGCAGGGAGGTCAGAGAGACAGGGACAGAGGATCTGAAGCAGGCTCTGTGCTGCCAGCAGAGAGCCCTACAGGGGGCTCGAACTCACAACCCGGGAGATCATGACCTGAGCCGTAGTCAGACGCTTAACTGACTGAGCCACCCAGGTGTCCCCAAACCAAGACAATTATTAACTTCAGGGGAAAGAAAATTTTTTAAATTTTTGTAGGTTGAGTCAAGGTGCCTGGGCGGCTCAGTCAGTTGGGCGTCTGACCCCAAGTTTCATGACCTCAAGGTTTGTGGGTTCGAGCCCCATATCAGTCTCTGCACTTATAGTGCTGAGCCTGCTTGGGATTCTCTCTCTGCTCATCCCCTGCTTGCTCTTTCTCTCTCTCTCTCAAAAATAAATAAACATTTTTAAAAAGATAGGACGAGTAGTAGCCATAAAAATATGACGTTACTCAGCAATATGATGTCATCAAAAATTGTTAAAAATCCATCTAACCAATATTGTGATTTAAGTCTTCAGGGAGGATGCCTGGATAGAGAGTGTAAATGTGTGATAGTAATGGTAGGATCCATAATGCCTCCAATGGAAAAATGCAAAAAGTAGCAACTTAGGTTATGTTTTGATAAGGAAGAAATACCAAAATAAATAGCTAAAAGGTCTGAAAGCATTTGCCTTTTAGGGAGAAGGAAATGGGGGAGCAGGGAATGGCCAGTTTACGAAGTAAAACTATATTGCTTTATATGAATAACATTGGTCAAAACAAAAATTAAATTTTTAAAAATCACTTTTTAAAAAGGACCAGGGGAGCCTGGGTGGCTCAGTCAGTTAGGTGTCCGACTTCAGCTCAGGTCATGATCTCATGGGTTTGAGCCCTGCGTTGGGCCCTGTGCCGACAGCTCAGAGCCTGGAGCCTGCTTCAGATTCCCTGTCTCCCTTTCCCCCTTTCCCTTCTCCGCTTGCACTGTCTCTCTGTCTCAACAATAAATGAACATTAAAAATTTTTTGTAATAAAAAAATCAGAAGGACCATATTTTTTGTTGGATGGAGAGAAGAGGAGAAATAAATTGGGTTTAAAATCAAGTCATCTGCAGCAGAGGCAAGATGTTCAGGCCATCAAAAACAAGAGCTGGGAGCTTGGGAGGAGGGATTAGGTTTGCAATAGAGATTTTGTAATTATTTAGATTAAAAGAGAATTAGCTCTATAGGAAAAATGGTGCTGAGCAGTAAGAGAGAGGTCTTGAAGATAAACCATTTCATAAGTGCCGTTAGAGTGTCAGGAGAGAAAAAGGCTCGATTAAGAGAGCAGCTGAGAAAACCAAGGAAAATAGGAGTTTCAATGGAGAGAGAAGGGAAGTGATTAAGGTCAGGTATGCAGAGGGTCAAAGAGGCCCAGACCATTAGAATAAACAATGAAAAATTTCTAAAGAGGGTATTGTAATCTAAGGATTAAGTTCACACCCTATAATGAGCCTTAAATTAAGAAAGGTTTTGGGTTTTGGAATGATCTTGTATTTTTCCAGGACACCATACAATGCCTGTTTTCAGTAAATACACAGTTGTCCATGGTGCAGCCTCACAAACCCTGCATTAATAAGAAAGTGGATCTTAGGGCATATTGTCATTACCATTCCCGTACAAAGCTGTGTCCCTGTTTGTTTTTTGTTGTTGTTTTTTTTTCCCCACACAAGGGCTGGCATTGTCTGTGTCAGAGATGAGCATTTGGACTAAAGTTCATGGCTTGGCTAGGATCTTCCTTTTGGCTGCAATTCCCGGGTGATCAGCTGCCTGTCATTGGCCATGATGTTATTGACACCCAAAACAAGAAGGAAGCACAAGAAAACAAACAAAATGGTATGTCAAAGGCTACGTTCAAACTACCAAATATTATGGTAAATCTCAACTTGAGAAAGATTTGACTATTTCATTTTGCTGAGTCGAAATTGAGCGCTTGGCTTCAGGACTAACAGTATAATTGGTAACAAATGTTGCCTAATCTCTCATAAACATTTTCTCTTTCTAGTATAAATTGCCTCCACGCTTCCGCACTCTCCAAACAGATGCAAGATGAACAGAAAGTCTCATTTTGTATGTTTCAAAAGCCCACCATGACACTGAATTTGCCCATTTGCCTGTGTCTATTTTCCCACATTGCTGCCTTCCAGACATTTCCTCAGACACGTCGGAGGGACGAATGGTTAAAAGAACAATATTAATTTGGAATTCAAAAAGCTCATGCAAGTCCATTAACAGAACACCAAACAGTCTGGTTAGCAAACACTTCTGTGCAGGTGTATTTAGCAGGTTCCCCGCTGAAGCATCAACCAAATTACTCTTCAGTGGGTAGGATTTCCCAAGCCCACAGGATCAGAATTTGCGGAGTGCAGCCTGGAATGCCCCACAGCCCCACTGCTACATGCCTGCTTTCCCACACAGATGGTAGAAACTTCTGTAAAGCAATGGATAGCTGAAATGTCCTTCTGAGATGCATATTTGGGGGAGGGGAGGTGGCTGGTCCTGGCTCGTGGGAAAGCAGCGGATTCGGATGTCCTTTGCTTCTTTTTCGGGGACGCAGTCAGGCTGAGGTCTGTCTCTGTTTTGTTTGGTAGTCCAGCTGGATGTTGGAGCCTTTTTTACAATGAGAAACATGAATTCCAGAGTCAACACTGTCTACATTAGCAGCACAAGAATTGGTTAGCAATACCTGATATGGGTCCATCCGGCCAGGCTGGAGGTGAAATGCATATTTTAAACACAAATGGAGGAGTGATGAAATTGACACAGATCAGTTAGAGATTTACAAACATATAGGGGCACCTGAGTGACTCAGTCTGTTGAGCGTCTGACTTCAGCTCAGGGCATGATCTCGGGTTCATGAGTTCAAACCCCACATCGGGTTCACAGCTGTCCGCACGGAAGCTCTCAGTGCAGAGTTGGCTTCGAATCCTCTTTCTCTCTCTCTCTCTCTCTCTCTGCCCCTCCCCTGCTTGTGCTCTCTTTCTCTCAAAGATAAATAAACATTAAAAAGAAAAGAAATTTGCAAACATTTATGGTGCCTGATAAACGGTCCTGGCAATAGAGGGAAGATTCACCTGTGGGCAATGTATTCCTATGTAATACCATCTCATACTTCTTTTTGTTCATTAAAATGTCTTTCAAACAAAAAGAACAGTGAAGAAGCTTAAGTGTAACCTAAACGTCTGACGTCCAGCAACTTAGATCAATCACAGGGCCACTTTGGAAATAAAAGACATAAGAGACTTGTCTAGATCTAGCCATGTTCCTCTCCAGTGTTTATGGAGGGGCTTCAAAGATAACTAGGGGTGAGGACAGAGTGCAGGCCAAGAGGTTTATTTCCAGCCCAAGTGACTAACCTCCTTTGCAGGTGTCCTGCTTTAGCAAGTTCTCCTTAGGAAAGGTTACTTGCTGGAGTTTATCTGACACAAGCCCTAAAATGCTGTCCCTTCAATGATGGAAAATGTTAGATCCTTCATCGGGTGACCAGTTAGGCAGAGAAGAACTCAGTTGGAGATGACAGTCGCACTAAACCCAGAGAGAGAACTTTCTTGATGTGCTACCTTAGAGCTGGGAGAGCAAGGTAAGCAAGGATGAGGAGAGCTGGAATTTCCATGTGCCTACTTTCAGCAGGTCCTAATCATATCTTGCTTCAGCCTCACTAAATTCCCAGAAGATAGGCAGACTCTGAAATCTTCATCTTGGCCTATCAGGCCACAAGTGATCTTGCTCCTGGCTACCTCTCCTGCTCCCCACCTCATCATCCCTTGCTGGCCCACTCTCCCCAGCCACACAGCTCTCTTGACTGTCCTTTGAAGCCACCAAACAAGCTCCAGCTCTGGAGTTCTGCACTACTGTGACGTCTCCCCAGCTGGGGGCTCTTCCCCTGGATGAGGGCAACGTGCCTCTCCCACACCCACGTAGGCCTGCTCCCAAGTGACCCTCCCCTATTCAGACAGCACCTCCTCACCCTTATCCCTTTACTCTGCTTTATTTGCCTTCATAGCATTTGTAGTGCATTCAACCATGTCCCCCAAAATTCATGTCTACCGAGAACTTCAGACTGGGACCTTATTTGGAAACACGGTCTTTGCAGATCTGGTTAACTAAGACAGGGTCATAATAAAGGACCCCGAGAATGAACCCTAAATCTAATGTGACTGGTATCCTCACAAGAAGACGAGAGGACACACAGAGATACACACTTAGGAGAATGCCGAGTGCGAGTGGCTAGGGAAGCAGAGACTGGAATAGTGCAGCTCGAAGCCAAGGAACGCCAAGGACGTAAACAACCACCAGAAGCTGGGAAGAGGTGAGAAAGACTCTTCCCTGGAGCCTTGCCAACGCATCGATGTCAGACCTCCAGCCTCCAGAACTGTGAGAGAATCAATTTCCGTCATTTTAAGCCAACCAGTTAATGGTGTTTTCTTTGTTACATCAATCCAAGAAAACTAACACAGCTAAAATAAAAAACACAAGAAACAACAGGTATCGGTGAGGATGTGGAGAAAAAGGAGCCCTAGCACACTGTTGGTGGGAATGCAAACTGGTGCAGCTGCTCTGGAAGACAGTACGGAGGTTCCTCAAAAAATTAGAAATAAAGCTACCCTACAACCCAGGAATCACACTATTGGGTATTCAACCAAAAAATACAAAAACATTATTTCAAAGGTATACATGCACCCCTAAGGTTATTGCAGCATTATTTATAAAGGCCAAACTACGGAAGAGCACAAGCGTCCATTGATAGGTGAATGGATAAGGAGGTGGTATATATACATATACATACACAATGAAATATCGTTCAGTCATAAAAAAGGATGAAATCTTGCCATGTGCAATGACACGGATGGAGCTCTAGAGGGTATAATGCTAAGCAAAACA